TTCATCCGATTTATTGGGTAACAAATAACCCACAGCCGTAATATGCACTCCGTAACAACGATATTCAAGAAATATATCAAATACAGCTCAGAAATATCTTTGCAAAATTTTATCGAGATCGGTTCAGATTTGAATATAGTTCTTATATATATTTTTATCCGATTTCAAATTAATTTCGCACCAAATGGGCAATACAAGTCCGAATTTAAAAGATAAAAATGCTTCGGCATATTTAGTCCTTTGAACTTTAAATTATAATTATCATAGCGTGTATGATTGAATTCTCCCATAAAAACTTTTAATTGTTATGCGCACCTCTACTAAATTAGCAAAGTGGTGTAGGGTATCATAAAATCGGCCCCGCCCGACTTTAGGACTTTCTTTACTGGTTATTAATACGAATAACAATACAAATTTTTGGTAAAAATGGCATCGTAGTAAGTCAAAATATTTTAAAAATTTTCTTACCAATTTATTTTTTTTATGCAGGAAGAATTGAAAGAAAAATACTCTACATATAATTTCACTATATATGTCAGAATAAACGATTTATCTCGGATTAATAGGTTAAACTACAATTGAAATATAAATATTTTAAGTTAAAAATTAGGTTTTTTTTATTTTAACATGTTTCCATTCTAAACCAAAATCTGAAGGATTCTAGATCAAATTTCATTTTGGTGTCCGAGCAAAGGAAATTTGTATACATAATATGAACCATGAAAAATAGTAAATTTTGGTTCTTCTTCCTTCTAAAACGAGGTGCTGAATTTTGCATAAGCTCACATGAAATACGACTTTAACCCTAAAATGTGTTTTTAATATTTACGAATTCGTGGCATTTAGATAAGATTTAGAATTATGTAGTCGAATTTTATTTTCTTCTTAATAAATACAGCAAATTATTCTACCTTTTATTCCAAGTAAACCTTTCTCCCCCATCCCCATCTTTTGCCGTCTATGACCTGACAATCTCGACCGGCCAGTTTAAAGAACCTCAACAAAAATTGAAGCGGTCATTTTTATTTAATGTGGCTACTAGCGGTGTGTGCGGCGTTATGTGGCTAGATTTTGCATCTAATAGACCGCAAATACAGCATAATGTTTAATGTAATTGTAAACCCTTTTTATGGTAAATCCGAACAGTTCGCAAAAAAGCAAGAAAAAAAAAACAAAAATAATTGCCGATCCATAGCTTGGCGGCTGGCTAGTGCGATAACTTCATTGAAGTGAGCGTAAGTGTAAGTAACTTTTGCAAATGAACCTATGACGATGTGGTTGTCGATATGCCTACCCAACACGGCTTGATAAATAATGAGCGAGTGAACGGCGGCGGCGGCTTGAGATCAATGAAACGGAAAAGCTTGAAAAGTTATCTCAGTAACAACAGCAGACGGACAAACCGATCGACGGACGGACGGGGTCTTTGCCACCACATCACAGCAGCGACAAGGCGGCATGTCGTACGATTTCAAAAACTTAAGTAGAGATAGATGTGGTGGCGATCGAACGAAATGAAATGAAACGATGACGACGACGACGACGACGGACGAAACGTGTCATGGTGGTGGCAGCACAAGTAAGAGGCGGAACAGGGAGCTGACACATTGAAGTGCATAGATAGACTAGATCTTGGAAATGTGTATCTCAACACAAGTCAGAGAGTGAGAGAGAGGGACGGAACGGAACGGGACCTCCACAGGCAGTTGGGGCAAAATGCAAATGTTTTAAAACGTTTTGACTTGATTTAGAGGTTGTAATGACTTGGCTTAAGGTATCAGTTTACCTACAAGTTAATGATATCCGGTTACAATAACAACGCCGTATAGGTTGGATAAATACCCGGCTTTTCTAGTCGATGGGGAAAATATCCGTCCACAATTGTGTTTTTTTTTTGTGTCCACTCGAAATGAGTGTTGGTTATTAAGAAGAAAAAAAAAAGAAACAACAGCGCATTGCGACTGCCGCTGTCGCTACCACCAACGTTGTCGGCTTTATCATCTGTGAGACATTCTCCCAAACAACCAGCCTGCTTGCCAGCCGAACATCAATCCCAACAGCCATCCATCCATCCATCATAAGTATATCACATGTGAAAAAATATGATGATAGAGTTTTTTTTTTTGTTTGTTCTCAGTTTGGGTTTAATGAGAAATATCAACAACAACAAGAGCACATTTTCAAAACCACAAACCACACACAATTCCTAACAAACTTTATTGCGGTTTCACATTGTAGCGCTTGTTTGTGTTTTGGGAAATGGTGAAGAGTTAGGGACCCAATAAAGAGAAACACTTGTTTCAGTTGTTGTTGTTGCTGTTTTCGGAATTCGAGATCATATGAACGCAAATCGTGCAACACACAACGTTGTGGGTTAAATGGCCATAACGTATGCAGTTAATTAATAGCAGAGCGAAATGCTATAGATTTTCATGAAAATTCCAACGTTATTAATCAGGTAATATATCAAAATAAAATACACACAAGTATAAAACTTAGACGAGCTGAAGAGGTAATATAAAACATTTTGTAATAGAAAACACTTGTAAGGAAAAGATCAAAGTCTGGCGGGGCCGATTATATACCCTATCAAATGGAATTATGAATCTGAACAGATTTTCTGATAAATTTTCAGAGATTTTTCTATGGCTTATATGATGTCTCCTACCAACATCATTGATATCGGTAGCATATTACGGCTTTCTGTAGCTTAAAACTCAAATCGGCAGCATCATGCATACACGAGTTACAGCTACATCTGAATCGATCTTCACCAAATTCTAGAGATTAATTCTATGCGGAGTTCAGCTTTATATATAAAAATTTATCTCATGAACTTGGTTGAAGATATATATGGTGGCTATATCCAAATATGAACGGATTTTGCCAAAATCTTAAATATGTACTTTTGGGTTATTTCATAACAAACATTCCATCATACATGGAGGATTGATCACCCTACAAAATTATATTATTGATCAACATAAGATTCTAAGTCGTTTTAGTCATGTCCCTCTGTCTGTCTGTCCGACTGTGGAAATCAGAGTCCGAACGGAGTGAATTAGATAGGCAAATTTTCACTCAAATTCACTTTAGGCCCGTATAATCTTTGACATTGAAAATGGGTTATATATATCCATGTTTGTTATAGCGACCATACACTGGGTGAGATGAAAAAACTGCAACCAACTTCAGACTGCTGTCATTTCTAAGCCACTCATTCAACAGCTGTTAAAATTATTCCAGTGAAAGTGGTGACGTGGGCGAAAATATTCTGGAGGGTGTATTAAAGCCTTGGGTATGCAAACATTTTGGCCGCAGACCTTGGACATTCAAACAGGACTCAGCACCATCGCACTCAGCACGCGCCACCTAAGAATGGTTACAGCATGAGGTTCATCGCTTCATTTCCACCGCACAATGGTCACCAAAACCTCCGGATACCAATACGTCTGGAGTATTTTCAAAAGCAATGGTGGCACTAAAAAATACCAAGGTGTCGATCACCTCAAATACCGCAGAACAACATTCGAGCAGCGTGTGACGGTTTCATTGGCCGTCCATGAAGACCATAATTCGTGCCAAAGGTGACCAATTCGAACAAATCTAAACTTATTCTAAAATTTTATGCTATTTCTGACATTTTTTGCTTTCATTCAATAAATTTTAAAAAAAATGTAAAAAGTATGGCGTTTGACTTTGTTGCAGATTTTTAGCAGTTTGTGTTCCCAAAAGAAAAGGTCCTTGCAGAAAACTGTACACCTATGCTCAAGTTTTGTTATAGACCCAATATAATTGTATCTCACGATATTTGGTATTTTTGATTTGTGTCACACTTTTTACCAGAATTGTTTCAAATTTGTATTTGGAGTTCGTAATGGATATAACCTTCCATTATAGAAAATTGCCTATACAGGTTCACGTGTTCGTATAGCCCGTATCAAGAGATACTCGTTTAAGAGCTAAAATGCATTTTTATACTTTTCGACTTTTACCTACGACAAAATCCAAATTATTCATTGAATCTATTCGTTTATCGATTTTTGATTTTTAAATGTTTCTTGGTGAACATTTTTGAAAAAAGTCGTTTGGAGATTTCTGGAGAGATTCTGGGTACGGGAATATCGAGCAAATTTTGAAAGTAGAACTAAAAAAAAGACACCTGTATCGTATTTTGAATTTGAAAGTTTACATCGCAAATTAGCCTTAACAGAGGGATGGCAAGTTCCCCCTCTTCCACACTTTTGGAAGTTTTCGAATAAAGATTCCTCGGAATTCGTGCATTTATACAAAAAATATTTTGGTAGAAAAATTTTCCTTGAACTTTTTCGAGTTGAAGCCTGAAAGTAATATAAAATTTCCTTTTAGGAGGTTCAAAAGAGGAAATATTCTATTCAAAATTTCACTGTTTATATCGGATAATCCATGTATCTAGGCATAATAGTTTTTATGAAAATTACATTTCAACATTTATGTACTAAAATTGCAAATGATGTCTTTGCTTTTTTACTGTTAATTTAAAATATAACCAGTCCGCGTAAAAAGTTCTCTTTATACTTCATTTTTTAGGGAAAGTGTCAGAGTAAGAATTATTCTAGACCCTATTTCATTGTGGGTCTCTGAGCAAAAGAAATTTGAAGACTTAATACGTACCATAAAAAAGCATACATATTTGTTTAAGAGCATACATATTTGAACAATTTAGAACTTTTACCCAATTCGCTGAAAATGTTCTAATAATTTCATTGTACAATAGACAATTTGATTTGTGGAAAATGCCAAGAGGACTAAATATTTGTTATATAGTTTAGACCATATACAATATACAATTTAGAACTCGTCCAAAACAAGAGATACAATTTGAGAGTGTTAGCTTAAAAAATAGAAATTGTTTGTAATTAAAAATCCCCGTTCTTCTTGCAAAAATTGATTTTTCCCTTTGTGAAAATATTGTATTTATATTGTTATTATTATTCGATTTACTTTTCATTGGCACTTACCTATTTTTAGCGGCCGCCGCTCTATCACGTTGACGACGATTTTTAAACCAATTACCCACTTGAGTGGGATTAAGTCCCGTCGCTTTGGCTAATTCGCGTTTTTTCGTTGGATTCGGATATGGATCCTGTAGGTACCATTCACGCAGGAGACTTCTCGTGCGTTCCTTGAAACAATGTGTTTTCTGTTCACCATCCCAGATGGTCGGTGGTAAGGGAAATTTTTTCCTTACGCGATATTTGTCGACGGGACCTATAGCGAGAAATAAGACCAAAAAAAAAATCAAGAAATTAATTATTTAAAATGTAAAACAAAAACAAATAAACGAAATTAGCAAAGGAATTTAAATTTGGCCTGCTTTACCCTTATTCTGTATTCATGGAATTTTTTATATTAAATTTAAACAGGATGATAACGAATAAATATTCCTTTAAGATTTCCCCCATAATGTACATTTTTATTTTATGTTAATGCAAAAAAGAAAATGTATACAAGGTTAATAAAGGAATTTATCCCATATGTTTCTATTTCGAAAGTAATAATTTTGAAAGAATTTAGGTCTTTAAAATAATTATTCGTAAGAAAAAACTACGCGAGAATATTTGTGATCTTGGTGAAACACATTTCCCATTTGTTTCTATGATATAACCATTAATAAAACCCCCAATAAATTAGAAATGTTCCAAAATAACACCAATGCGAATTTTCATTAACTACATTCAGAAAAGTTGTAGCTGTAGAAACAAGAATTCTACAATTTAACAATGCGGGGAACAGAAATTCGTACGTGAAAACCGAATAAAATATTTAATACAAAATCACATTGTCGCTATCGAAAATATTTGAGCTTCATCCTTCAAAATGCCTTAAATCTGTTGAATAAAGTTTGAGTAAAATTTTATATCTTTATTAACCGCAATCACATCTAATTTTTTTAAAACCAAAAAAACTATTTTTTAAATTTTAAATAATTTTATTAATTGATGTTATTTAAAAAAAACATTTTTGAGAACTCAACTACAGCAAATATTTAGCAAAATTTTCCTACCGAAAGTTTGAAAATCAACATTTTACGCACTATGTGTTGGGGGTATTATAAGTTTGATTGGGCCAAAAATTATGTAACACCTCGAAATATTGCTCCCCAACATAGGAAACTATATATGGATCTTCCTATCTCGCCGTCTGTCGATGGTGATTTTTAATCCCGCTACAGTCCGCAATTATGGCCCGATCCTCACGAAATTGAAAATGGAGGTAGGGTTAGGGTAACAATATAAGCCTATTGTTTTGGAGGTGGACCAAAAACTAAAAATTCCTGATGATGCTCTGGCAGAAGCCTACCGATTTGGACGGTCATTGTACAATATTTAGCGGGTAAAAAAACCATAACATTCATGTGAAAAAATACGAAAATTTCCACTAAACCGCGAATATTTTTTAACCCGGCCAAATCTCAAAGACATTAAAAGGTCACTTCTGACCATTACAGTGATGCTGATAATCAAGATATCGAATATATAGGAAAATAGGTACAATATATATGTTAAAGAAATTAATGTTAGTTATTCCGCTTTGATAATGGTCTCTTGCTAGAAAATTATAAAATTTAAGGAATTCGCGTAAAAATATGACAATAAAAAAGTGAATATGTTTTGTTAAATTGTCGTCATAGTTTTTATCGCATGCGATTTTTTCAATTTGACTTACAATTTTGAATTGTACATTTTCTAAAGTTTTTCTTCACACCGCAACACTGTGTGTTGTGGGTATTATATACAGATCGCAATTATCGTTTAATCTCACGAAATTTTGCATGGGGGTAGGGTAAGGGTCAGAATAGAAGCCTATTGTTTGAAGATGTACATTTAGGGCTTCAAATGGACAAAAAAATAAAATTTTCCCAATTTTACAGTCGCTCTACAGGTCACAATTGAAAACAAGTGAAGAAGTCTAGTATTTTGGACTACAATTGGATAAAATTAAGCTGTAAAATAAAAAAACAACACAGCGGAGTGCGTAAATATTGGCTAAATGCTTCCGGTCATAAAAGCTAAGGGCAACATCAGGGCAGGTCCATACGACATTATGTCAACAACGAAATCTTCCAAAATGGATTTGGACATAAGGCGGCTTCCAACATATTGTAGTGTTGTAGGGTACCACATGGTCGGCCCCGCACGGCTATAGCCTTTGCTTACTTCTTACTTTTTGCCTTCGAGCTATTCTACAACTTTTTTCTTCTTTAAAAATTCAATTGTATTGCAATTTAAAAGATTTTTCTTTTGTTCTGATTTTTACTTACCCAGCGATCGTCCACGTAATTTTTCCGCTTCAATGTAATGGGCTTCCAGCCACATTGCCTGCAATTTTCCATATGAAGCTTTTGTAAATTTATGATTTTCAATTATTGCATAAAGTTCCCTGCGATGAAAAAAGAAAAATAAAAAGTTAGATGATTACAATTTAAAACTTTTATATATTTTACATTGGTATTTCAATAAAGCAAACAAGAAGGGTTGTTTTCGGTAGGAAGAAATTTCGGAATTTTATACCATTATGAGAAGTTAAGCACAAAATACAGATGCACAGATATTTCTATCACTTACAGGTAGGATTTAGGATATTTGTATAAATATTGATCATTTGGAAAGAGGTACCAGGCAAACTTATATATCAAATTATCGCAGAACAGATCTTAAGGTGGGAATACATAAAGCGCTTATTTGGCTGACTTAAGTCATCGGCCTGCTTCTTCGGAAATTAACAAAGAAGCCTAGGCCCCAAACCAACTAAGTCAACCTAAAACTCCTTTATTCCTCTACGAAGAGGCCAACCGATGACCTTAGGCTGGAAATACATAAAGCGCATATTTGGCTGGCTTAAGTCATCGGCTGGCTTCTTCGTAAATGAACAAAGGAGTTTTAGGTTGACCTAGTTCGATTTTGGCCCTAGGCTCCTTTGTTCATTTCCGAAGAAGCCAGCCGATGACTTAAGCCAGCCAAATAAGCGCTTTATGTATTCCCAGCTTTAGACTTAGCCTGATATTTGGAATTTCATTTAAATCGAAATTGAAATTGAATTGAAAATTGTTATATAAATTTAAAAAAATGTAAATGTATCCAAAAATTTCAAAAAATAACATCGCTCGTAAAATTTATTTTTGTATTCTTAAAAAAACATTTTCAATGTAGGTGAACTATTTTTAATCTAAGGTGAGAAATCGTGGAAGAAGTTTTTTTCTGGCTTAAGGCATCGGTTGGCTTTTTGAAAAAGAAACAAAAAATAATTAGGGAGGCTTTGTTAAATTATAAACCAACATTGAACTAACACTCTTTCGTTCTTTTACGAAATTTTTAAAACTCAAAATTTCATTTAAACACCAAAAATCAATTTTTGAAAAACAATTTTTTCTACACGCGGCGAATAGTGATTTATTCCCTTTAGAAAGTTATGATAGGAATATTTTTTTCGTTGATGCCACTATGATATGTTACATATTTTTGAACAAAGCCACAAAAAGTACGGCTTTAACCCTAAAAAATGTTTTTAATATATATGAATTCCTGACCTTTAGGTAAAATTTACACTCTTGATGTCTTCCAGGACCTACAGTCGAATTTTATAACAAACAATTATTTGGGATATTTTGACTTGACTTCCCGTTTGAAGGAAATACTTAATTATATTCTTATAAAACCAAAAATAACCCTTTGTTTACTCGCTTTAGGTTTTCTGCGAAAGTATTACTCGTATTTTTATCTGCAATACTGCTGTAGACACTTTATACCTAAAATGCAGAAACTCCGAGGAATCTTAATCCGAAAATCTCCAAAAGTGTGGAAGAAGGTGGAATTTGCACAAAAACTGATTATGTTTTTTATTGTACTGCCTCATAATAGAATTTAATCCAGAATATTTATTCTTTATTTATTTATACTCATATACAATTAGGTATTATGAAAGATTTTTACTCAACTATAAACGTACAAAGGAAACATTCAAAAAGGTCAACATATAATTTTCACTTTAAATATATAAGTGTGGAATTAAATTCTCTTGAAAATAATAAATATACAGCTATTTTCTGAGGCTTATAATAAAATTGGGTATAGAGTATTTTCTCTTCGGATACTTTCTGCCTAAGACCAAGTTGAATATTATATTTATGCATAAACACGAAAAAGGCCTGAATTAAATTGGAAATTCTGTAAATTGGTATTTTGTGTTCCCAGTGTGCAGAAAACACACTTGCAAAGAACTTTTCATATAGGTCCAAGTTGTTGCTAAAACCTGACCAAATGATACCTTTCGGTTTTCTTTTTTTTTTTTTTGATCCTATTACCCACATTTTTCAACGGAATTGTCTCAAAGTTAGGATATCTTCCGATATTCGACACTTTAGCAAGTTTAGTCTAGTAAGTAAGATAGTGTTTGGAGTTCGCTATAGATATAAGAAATAAATATAGAGATCACTCCCAATATTTGGTACTGGAAGTTCCTATGTTTATGCTTATGAATATTGTAATGGCTTATGACAAAAGTTGCCTATGCAGGTCCACGTCGTCGTATAGACCCTAATATAACGGCTACATTCGGTATTTTTAAGATTTTAACAGAATTTTTAATAGATTTCATTTTTTTGATGTAATGTAAACATAAAGTGTTCTAGGGTATCACATGGTCGGCCCCGCACGACCATAGCCTTCGCTTACTTGTTTATACCCTACACCACAAGGTGGTCAGGGTATTATGTCTTTGTGCATTTGTTTGTAACAGGTAAAAGGAAACGAGATAGACCCATAGTTTCTTTTGATGATCGGCATAGAATCACATTCTCAGTCGATTTATGCATGTCCGTCCGTCTGTCCATGTATTTTTGTAAACAAAGTATAGTTCGCAATTATTGTTCTATCCAGATGAAATTTTGCACAAATCATTTGTTTGGCCCAAGGACAAACCCTACTGAAATTGGAGATAATCGATAAAAATTTAGATATAGCTCCCATATATATCTTCGTCCGATTTGCCTTTTATTGTGCACCAAACGTGTAATATCCGCCCGAATAGTATCACATTTTGCACATACAACCAAATTAGGCCTGAAAATAAGTATGCCAAATTTTATCGAAATCGGTTAAGATATAGCTATACCTCCCATATATATTGTTCATTCGATTTGTTATTTTTGTCCTTCGCAGCCGTAATATGCACTCTGTTACAACAATATTTGGGGAAATATATCAAATACAGCCCAGAAATACATGTGCCAAATTTTATCGAGATCGGTTCAGATTTGGATATATCTCCCATATATAACTTCGTCCGATTTACCTTTGATTGTGCACCAAACGTCTAATATTTGTCCAAATGGGATGGAATTTGGCACTTAGGACTATTTAGTCTAGAAGCTAGTATGTCAAATTTGGTGAAGATCGGTTCAGATATAGCTTTAGCTCCCATATATACTGTTCATCCGATTTGTTATATTTGTTACCCACAGCCGTAATATACACTCCAACGATTGCGTACCCACGATATTCACGGAAATATATCAAATACAGCTCAAAAATATCTTTGCCACATTTTATCGAGGTCGGTTCCGATTTGGATATAGCTCCCATATATATTGTTTTCCGATTTCAAATTAATTGTGCACCAAATGGGCAATACAAGTCCGAATTTAAAAGATACAAATGCTTCGGCATATTTAGTCCTTTGAACTTTAAATTATAATTATAATCATAGCGTGTATGATTGAATTCTCCCATAAAAACTTTAAATTTTTATGCGGAGCTCTACTAAATTAGCAAAGTGGTGTAGGGTTTCATAAAGTCGGCCCCGCCCGACTTTAAGACTTTCTTTACTAATTTTTGAAATGAATTTAAAAAAAACCACAACTGGCTATCGTTAGAGCACTCCAGCATTTAACTGTGAATAAATCTTTTGTGTCTCATACCATCGCTCGTTACAGTGATATTGATAACGTAGCCCGGCATCAGACAAGTGGACGGAAGAAAACAACAACATCAGCAGAAATGGTTCGAAAAGTAAAGAAGCTACTTGATCGAAACCCGCGTCGCAGTGAGCGCAACAGAAAGAACATAGACTCAAAAGAACTAAAGAGTTGCTTCGTTTGGCCGAAAGTGGTGAACTGCCGAATTTGGTTTTCTCCGATGAGAAAACATTCGTTGCCCAGCAGTTTGTAAACAAACAAAATGAACGTGTTTAATTGCCAAAGAGGTCAGCTGAAAATGTGCACCTTCGGTTGGTCACCAGAACTCAAGCACGGGTCATGGTGATGGTGTGGGCCACCATAACAGCCGATGGTCGCTCTCCGCTCGTATTAATCGACCGTGGCATCAGAATAAATGCCGAATATGATAGCGAAAATATTCTGGATGGTTTATTAAAACCTTGGGCACGCAAACATTTTTACCGCAGACCTTGGACACTCCAACAGGACTCAGCACCATCGCACTCAGCACGCGCCACCCAAGAATGGTTACAAAATGAAGTTCCTCGTTTCATTTCTAGCGCACAATGGCCACCCAAATCTCCGGATACCAATCCGTTAGACTATTGTGTCTGGAGTATTTTGGAAAGCAAGGTTGGCACTAAAAAATACCGAAATGTCGATCACCTCAAGCAAGCGCTTCGCCGGGAATGGGCCAAAATACCGCAGAGCAACATTCGAGCAGCGTGTGACGGTTTCATTGGCCGCTTGAAGGCCATAATTCATGCCAATGGTGACCAATTCGAACAAATATAAACATATTCTAAAATTTGATGCTATTTTCGACATTTTTTGGTCTCATTCAATTAAATTAAAAAAAAGGAAAAAATAATGGCGTTTGACTTTGTTGCAGTTTTTTTTCCTATGCGACTATTCGTTTTAAATACATACACACTAACTACTTCTAATGTCTCCTTAAATATCTTCTCTGCAGGATATACAATTTTTTCAAATAGTCGTTGATAATGCAAATTCAATAGTACCAGACGTTTCTTATAAAAGTCACAAATACACCCGTCAATTATATTTGTGACCAAGGATAATAAAATAAATAAAGTGAAATACAACGAAAGAAAGACATCCCTTATTTGCGGGGGTAGTTAATAAAAATCAATCACAATTTCATGCATCATTCTGTTTCTGACATATTTTTGATTAGCACTTGAGAAACAAGTCAAGAAGTTTTCTAATAAATTTACAAAATATAATCAATTCCAAGAAATACAAATTTTTTATTTGGCCAAATATAAACAATCATATTCATGTAGGTTTTGATTTTTTTAATATGGGTAATATAAAACCCCATTTGAATTAATAAAGAATTTTTTTTTTTTGTTTACTGCTTTTTTTTATAAAAACTACATTTTTATTAAACCCAAAGAAGTATTTTGGTCGAAGTTGATGCATA